TCTTATACATTTTATTGTTGGATGTAACTGGGACCCTGTGTACATAATTTCGCTCCACCACATGTACCACATGAGGTGCGAATGACAATAAAGAATCTCTGACTCTGATTATTTGTAATTATTAAAATGAATCATTAATAATTTATGTTATTTTTTTTTACTAATTAATAATAATAATAATAATAATAGGTGCCTTCCAGGCAGCCCGGTGGCGCAACTGGTAGAGCTGCTGCCTCTCAGCGAGCAGGTCCTTGGTTCAAACCCCGGTCCGGGGGCCTTTCTGGGTGGAGTTTGCATGTTCTCTCCGTGCATGCGTGGGTTTTCTCCGGGTACTCCGGTTTCCTCCCACAGACCAAAAACATGCATGTTAGACTGATTGGTAACTCTAAATTGTCCCTAGGTGTGAGTGAGAGTGAATGGTTGTTTGTCTCGTTTGTCTCTATGTGTCCCTGTGATGGACTTGCGACCCGTCCAGGGTGTACCCCGCCCCTCGCACAGTGATTGCTGGACATGGGCACCAGCGACCCCCGTGACCCAAAATGGAATAAGCGGGTAAAGATAATGGATGGATGGATGGATGGGTGCCTTCCATACTTGTTGAACCAAAATGGCTCCCGACGTTACTCAGTTTCTTTGAACAGCTTTCTCCTATTCATTTCCTATGGGAAATTGATCATTTTCGTTAGCAAAATATGTTGCCATGGTAACGCCAATTGCCAATAAAAATTAATAGCACACATCTCGGGGCCGGGCCGGTCGTTTGGATATAACTTTTGTAAGGGTCCACTTTGTGGTTTGGGCCGCATTAAAGTTGAAAAAGATACGCTTTTCAGGTGTAGAATAATAAGTGGACAGTCATCAACTAGTTCCTGGAGTTGGTGAAATATTGCGTCTTTGTTCGCAAATTACTTCGCCATGCTAACTTGAAATGCCAATAAAAGTAATAGCACACATCACGGGGCCGAGCCAGTCATTTTGATATAACTTTTGTGGGGGTAGACGCTGTGGTTTGGGCCGCATTAACCGAGATAGAAATGTAGACTCACTTCCGAGGTGTAGAATAATAGGTGCCTGCCATGCAGTACCCAATTAAATTTAACTTGCTTTCACTTTAAATGACTTAAAACTGAAACACTAACCAACAGAAAAAGCAAAGTGAAATATTTTGAGGTTTTATGCTAATTTTTTTCTAGATAATTGAACAAAAATATAAACACTGCTTCCATTTTGCATGAGCTGAACTCTAAAGATCTAAGACTTTGTACACAAAAGGCCTTTTTCTCTCAAATATTGTTCACTTGTTATTGTTTTATCACACAGCACGATGACACAGATGTAAGTTTAGAGGGAGCGTGCAAATGGCATGCTGCATCATCAGGTGATGGTCGTGGATGAACAATGGGTCTCAGTTATGGTGTTTCTGTGCATTCAAAATGTCATTAATAAAATGCACCAGTGTGTGTTGTCCATAACGTATGCCTGCTCATACCATAACCCCACCACCACCACGGGCCACTCGATTCATAATGTTGACATCAGCAGTTTGAGAGAAAAAGGCCTTTGTGTACATGGAAAAAGTTTGATATTTGAGTTCAGCTCATGAAAAATGGGAGCAAAAACAAAAGTGGTGCATTTATATTTTTGCTCAGTACAATTTAGGTATTTGTGGATGAAATCTGAATAGACTGAGGTGACAAGGGTGAGGGTTTGAAGACGGCACACCTCTCGTGCGCCTCAGTGCTGCGCTGCCAAGCAAGGTATCAGAGCCAGACTGGCCTACATATGAAAAAGTAAGCTGCAGTGTCACGACTTACTGTACTTTACGGATTATACGTCGCTCCGGAGTATAGATTGCATTAATCAAAAAAATGCCTCATGATGAAGAAACAAAACATATACAAGTCGCATATTTAGACGTGTATTTTACAAAGTGCAAGAACAGACATTTAATCTGAAATAACAACACACAGAACATACCTGTGATCCTGAACAGGCCTAATTAACATAACAAGCCAACGAGTCCAACAAGCAAGTTACCATCCTCTGTGTCACTTCTGAACAACTCTGCCAACTCCGGAGGAAGATGGAGGGGGGTTTTAGAAGAGGAACAACAGTTGTCAAAAGCCTAGAGTGTCCTCTCGCGGCTGCTAATGGTTATGTTTACTCTTTGATTCATGTCAGTACGAATGAACATTTAACGCATCAGTCAAAAATTGCATCATGAATATGGAAAAAAAATGTAATCGCGTCGGACTATACATCGCAGGACTGGCTAAATTATGAAAAAATGTGTGACTTAAAGTTCAGAAGATACAGTAGTACTGTGATGACAGTGTGTGTGTGACCGGTAGAGCTGACATTTCTAACCTGAACCCGAAACCCGGCCCAGACCGACCCGGATTAGGGCTGGGCCGTTATAATGCGATTAATGGGCGGGTCTCTGGCTTTTAATTAGGTCAGCATCAGCCGCAATCCAATTATATGATAACATGGCCAGCCATACTTTCACCATCCGCACGCGGCCATTTCACCGTGAGCTGACTGGTCTTGAAAGAGGTCAAAAGTTCAGTTAAGCTTCAGATGGGACTGTAATGCCAGGCAGCGATCCATCACCCAAATGGACGTTCATTCTGCTGCTGCACTCAGCGGACGCACGCGGCCGAAGACCCAAACAGGTGAGATCCCAAAGCAGACATGTCAGAGCAGGGTCCATGAATAAATCTGAATGCAGGCAGAAGCAGGGTTTAAATGTTCTTTTACGGCCATGAAAAGACAAACACACTCTCAGCTCCGAATCTGCATTCAGCTGCGCGTCCCCGACGACAGGTGTAGACACGTGTCAGAGCTGTCCACATGTCTCAGTAATTCAGAAGAGTGCAGGCAGAAACGAGGTTTAAATGCTTTTTTACAGCCATGAAATGACAAGCACCCTCTCAGCTCTGAATCTTCTGCCTCTTTTATTCAGCTGCGCATCCCTGACTATTAATAACTAATTCAAAATGTTTTTTTTTTCCAGGTTCGGACCTGTAATTACTGTTAGTTCGTCGGGTTGGATTTGGAAATTATGACTGCGGGCTGGGGTCGAATCAGATTTTTTGGGCCTGAATGCAACTCTAGTGGCCGGCCCCTCGCAGGACTAAACAAGATTACTGACGGGATATTGATGATGGACAGCAACTTGCAGTTTTTTACTGGTTACGGTAGCCACAAAGATCACCAAAGAGTTATTTTTGTGAGGTATTTGTTTTGTAACGGACATGAAGACGAGGTCAGTCACATTTAATGAGTCACGCTTCACTTCAACCCAGCTGAGTTCTGATCCACGCCTCATTTAGTTCCAACTGCCCTATTTTATTCTGAAAGCTCACATTTGTGCGAGATGTGGCTGGCTCAATCTGTAACTTATGAACAACCAGAGAAGACAAACTGGTCCGTATGGCCTATTTGCATACCGTTTTACAAAAGAGCCTTATTTGTCACCTAACCAAAGCAGACTGCACCCTGCTCTACACTACCACATCCTGGTACGTTCAAAACTTGAATAACAGGCTTTCTCCTACTCTGTTCCTTCATCTTAGACTAAACAAGGCGTGAAACAGCCCTGCTTCGTTACAGAAACGGAATGAACTGGTGCCGTACATTTGCACCCCCAAGTTGATAGTCAGATATGCCTGATCAGCCCTAAACTCAAAATCCAATATGGCTGCCTCAAAAAAGCCGATAGTTCCAGTAAAAAGTTTTATTTTAGTCACGTTCCGTCTCAGAACACAGTACTCTTCAATCATTAAGGATTAATATTTTGGTACAAACTTTGAATGCACATCCATAGTTCTTGATTTGTCCTCCTGGTTTTGGACTTGTAACGGGAACACAGTTAAGTTGAATCTGACGTCATTCCCAAATCCAAGATTTGAAGTAAACGCAGCGTTAATTTTAGGGACACGGTAAAGACATCACTGTAAAGTTGTGCTTGTGATTTTTAGTACTTGTTTAATTGCAGTATGCACAGTATTGACTGTATTTGCATGGCCTCTTTAGAAAATGAGACCCCATATAATACAATCTCATTGAAATTACTTGTAAAAATAAAGGTGACATAAAAAGTGGATTGACTTCAGGTGACTCACTTTATGTCAGGTGTCTCTTGTAAATGAGTCCCCGAGGCTCTGGGATTAACCTGTATAAATACAGGTTGAATGAATGTGAGCTAATGCATTATCAAGAGACTTTACTAATGTAACATCTGAGTGTAAATATATTAATTTTAAATGTTTTATTTATTAAATAAATAGTTATAGCCAAGTTTAGGCTTCTCAAAGCACCTGGAACTTCCTGCATTCCTTTACATACAAAATACATCGTTGTACTACTGCCCTCTGGTGGCGAAGACGCACAACTACATCCTGCAGAAATCCTATTCCATTTCTTTTCCACAAAATGCTGTCGCCTGATTCAACCAGTGAGTAGATAGGAGTGAAACAAACAGCCAAACATTAAAAGATGGTTCTTTATTTTAAACAGACACAGGACAGCCATTTGTAAAAAAAGGTAGTGCAGCATCATCTGCTTGTCTTTTGCACAAATAATTAAGCGTGGCAATATTAACATGATGAACACTGTACAAAAACATAAAAATGCATTCATGCATGGCTGCACACTCCAAAGTATGAAAACACGTCAAACTTATGGGCTTGTTTATAATTTAGTAGTAATATCGAGCCTTTGACTTACTTCCATCATTTTCAGTTTTGCAATATATACACTCAAATATTAGGCTTTGAAATTACTAATAAATTAAGAGTCTTCATTTTCCTTTAAAAAAGGTTTAAAAAAAAAAAAAGAACATAAGAAAATAAATGTTTACAGGCTTAAAGACGAATGCCCATGTAAAAACACTATTTTGGAACAAGCAAAATGGTTTTATTTCCAATAATTATGGAAGACAAGACGTAACTACACATATAAATATAAAACTTATGAACAAATTATGTACAGCGGGTGAAGAGGAGAAGGTTTTACACCATTTGGTCTTTGCTTTAACATATTCAGGGTCGATGTCACTGGGAAGCTAATGCTTTCTCCAAGATGTTGATATCCACCAAAGGGAGAGATGCAACTTCAAAAAACACCCTGAAAAATGTTGTTTAAAATCAAATAAACCAGCAGTTTAGAATTAAAATGTTGGCATGCGAGCATGCGTTTATATCTACAGACTTACTTGTGAGAGTATTTGTTCCTGATGGCTTTCAGCTTGTCATCCGGCGGGAACGAAAGCGCCAAGTGGAGCTTTCTGACGACTGGCGCCAAGTCTGACGTCTGATAGCCGGAGTGGAACTGCAGGATGGGCGACTGCAGGACGAGACACAAGGCAGGCGTTGGTTTCTCAAACCAATCCAATAATCTACAAACTCCATTCAAGTTCAAAGAAGACAAAAGAGCTTCAGCTTCTGTGGGGTTGCAAAAACTTGTGGGGGAAAAAAAAAATCCTGAGTTAAGCCAGAAACAAGAACAAAAATGTATAGATCATAGTCGGTCCCATCGACACCAGCGCCAATTTTACATCAACTCAAAATCCTCGAAAGAAAAGTTGTCTAAACGGGAGCATTTGTTCTAAAACCTGTGGATATTTTTCTGCATCCATGGTGCCTCTATGCTGTGTGAGCTGCCCATGCCATTGGTGCTAATGCACCCAAACACCATCAGAGAAGCCAGCTTTTGAAGTGTGTGCTGATAAGTTGGGCAGTCCCCCTTCAGTACGGAAGACTAGGCCTGTCACGATAACAAAATTTTCTGGGCGATTAAATTATCTCAGAAATTATTGCGATAAACGAAAATATTGTTAAAAATTTAACAATAAATAATTGTCAAATTTTAGGAGAAATGTTGATTTGTT